CACCCTGATCCCTTGAAACATAAAATTCAACTCAGAAATTAAACTGTACCTTTCTTTTCTTTTTAAATTCCCTGAATCTTTAGTTTTACTTTTAGTGACTTCTTGTTTTGTTTTTGCTTTTGTCTTTGTTGCGGTTTTAGCCTTCTTTACAGGAGCTGGTCCAGTGTCATCCTGGAAATCATCTATAGATAGATCAGGGGCACCCAACGGCAATTTTCGGAAAATATCTGTTCGGAAGACGATTTGAGATCTAGAATTTTCGGAACATTTATTGTAAAATTTCTTGCTTGCCTGCCTCTCCTAGGATTTTCGAACATCTACAAAATGGTATAATTGGCTATTTTTAACGGATTTTTACCCTAAAAAAGGCCACCTAGAATTTTCGGGAGCCTTTTCTTGGCTGAAATTTTCGAAAAGGTAAGTTTTGATCCCTATGATTTTCGGATCACTAGACTTTCGGCTAGGAAATCCGAACAGATGAAAAGCTTTTAGGGGATAAAAATATGCCTATATCTACCGTTTAAATACTAAAATACGTTCAACAATGCTTTGTTAAGAGGTTTTGAACTATATCCTCGTTGGGTGCCCCTGATAGATAGATAGATAGATAGCCTTTATTTTAAAACGATGAGTATTAAAGCTACATGAGCTTGTGGGGTCGTTTGCAATTAACTAATTACAAGTAAAAACTAGGGGTATATACAGACAAAACGTTCGAACTCAATTAGCGCTTACAAATATGAAATTATGAGCATAAATTTAAGTATATACAAAGTCATCTTTTCTAAAATTACAAGTGGATGCAGACGTTATCTTAAAGCTGAATTCATTAAAATTAGCTTGAGATTTGAGCTTTAGCCTGAAATCACGATAAGGAATGTTTTTTGTTAGGGCACTACAGTTGTTGGTCACTGCATTCCACAGGACTGAGCCTCTAAACTCGACAGAGTCTTTCATGTAACGCGTGTTGAAGCGTGGAACAGTTAAAGAAGCGCAAGTCCGGGTTGAATAGTTTGTGACCCGTTTCTTAGAAATCAGGTCGATTAATGTGACAGGTAACCTATCGTGGAAAGCTTTATGAAGACAGATAAAAATGGCCAATTTATAATAAATAGACAGAGTTTGCCATTGGGCCCGTTGTAGGACATCAGCAGATGCCATGTCTTTCGGCAAATGAAAGAAGTCTCGCAGCCCTGCAGTGAAGTCTTTCCAGGGACTGAAATAAGTCGGAATTGCAGCAAGATCCCCATAGTATAAGACCATAGGTCACTGAAGGCAAGATGACCTTAAAATAGAGATCCTGACGAACGTTTCTAGGGAGAAATCTCGACTTCTTAAGTAATCTTAGTTTTTTAGCAAATGATTTTTTGAGTTCCAGCGTATGCTGAGTCCAGGTCAGTTTCTCATCGACGGTCATTCCCAGTAATCGTGATTTCGATACCCATTCAATCGTAGAGTTTCCGATAAAGATCGGGGGAATGTTAACCGGGGGATTTCTTCTAGAGATAAGCATGGCCTCACTTTTACTTGGGTGGGATGTTAATCTGTTAATGAGGCACCACTTGTTTAATTCACGAAGTGCAGAATTTAACTTGGCAATACTTTTTTCTGCCGTGTCACTTATGCAGTAAACCGTTGTGTCGTCGGCAAACATATAGACGGATCCGGAAGATACTGAGGACGGAAGATCGTTCGTGAAGAGAGTGAAAAGTGTCGGCCCCAAGACAGACCCTTGAGGAATTCCGAAAGAGATCGGTATCATCTCTGAAGTTGATCCATTAACAGCTGTGTATTGCTGTCTTTCCTTTAAGTAACTTTTAAGCCAGTCCAGGAGTAGCCCTGATATGCCAAAGTCCCTTTCCAACTTCGTTTCGAGAATGGCGTGCGACACACTATTGAATGCCTTTTTAAAGTCTATGAAGGCAACTGCTACCGCTAAGCCTGCGTACACAGCTTCTCTCCATGTTTCAGTAAGTTGTATTAGTAACAGTTCTGTTGAAAATCCTGCGCGGTATGCCCATTGTTTGTCCGTGACTAGATTATTAGCTTTGTATACATGACGAACAATTGTGTCATTGACTACTGATTCAAGGATCTTGCTTGGTACACTTAGCAATAATATCGGTCTATAATTGCATAATTATATACTGGAGTAAGCCTCGCAGTTTTCCAGCTAGTGAACACCCTACCAGTGGTAATGGAGAGTCGGAATAGGCTGAGGAGTGACGGAACAATCGCATCGCCTGCTAGCTTTAAGAGCTTTGGAGGTATGTTATCAGGACCCGTGGATTTTCTTGTTTTTAGCGCCTTTATTTTGTCCGCAACTAAAGACTTGGAAACATAGGCATAGCAATTACAACAACAAAATTAGTTCTGATGTGTGTAAATTAGGCCTCATTTATTTGGAGAATTCACAAAGCTGCCCGGGGAAAGAGGGTCACCATCCCGGCCAAGCCAACTTTTGTTAGCATTTATAGGAGAAAAAAGTTTCAAGAACCCTTTAGATGAACCAAAAGCTGACAACAGTGCCTGTCCGTGCTCTGATTGTCTTGCCTTGACTGAGTGTTTATATGGAGAAAAGTTGGTGTAGCTATGAGGGCCACCTTACCATCAAACAAGGGTGACTTGTTTAATTTGTAATTGAAGAGAATCCCTGAATACCAACGCATGCTGTGAGGTCATAGAGGCATTTTTGTTAAGACAGCTTTTTACAGCAGCCTCCATGTAATTGGTGTGTTTTTCGTGTTTGAGGCAACAATGAGTATTTCAAGGGGCTTATCTGTCTGAGTCGAAATCTGCTGGTGCAAAGCCTTATACAATCAACTCCCATTATTGTGGACACCCTTGGGACTGTGGTTGAGTGTCCCTAATAGCAAAAGTCTGTAATAATGTGGTGCAAAAAAATTCTTGATATTAGAGGACTTACATTTTTTTATATTGTTCATTAAAAAATGTACAATATAAAAAAATTGTAGTAACACAAAAACCAGAGAGTACTGTACTAGAAAATCCACTTCATGTACATTACGTAGACCATGCTTGTTTTTTGCAAGTAAGTACAGTAGTTTCTTAGAAGGATCATGTGAAATGGGAATTGGAGTGTTCACGTTTCAAGCAAAAGGACAGAGATGAAGTGAAAAAGAGGAAAAAATAAATTATAATTTGAGATAATTCTGTCTAAATGTCAAAAGATGCTGATTGCTGTCCTTTATAACAAGAGTTAGAACAATAAAATTGAGCTGTCAGGACCGAGAGAGGTGTCCCTAAGTCCGTAATAGCAAGAGTCCATAATAGTGGGAGTTTGTTTCAGTCAAATGTCTGTAATTTTTGCCGAGGATTTAGCAGCTGTTTGTATTAGTGGGATGTCCATAATAGTGAGGTGTCTACAAGATGAGAGTTGACTGTAGACTGGAAACCTTTTTGTCAAAAATGAACATAGCCAGCCCTGTTATAATGGCAAAAAACTGTTTTGGGGGGATGGGGAGCAGTTATAAGTGCTGGGTCCACTTACCCTTCATGTGCCCAGTCATGAGACAAGCAGAAGATGCCACTGCTTATCTCATGATCTGTGTTTGTTTACTTGCTCTGTGGCCTTTAATTATTGTTGTTAAATTCACTTTTGTTTTTGATACACTAAATATTGACTTATTATTATAATCCAAATTAGCCATTATGTAAGTTTACATCAGATGAACAAATTTCCCAAGTTAGTCCTGGGTCAATTTAATAGAACTTTGATAAGTGTAATTTTCAAGTGTATAATCGGCTATATTGTGTTCGGACTCAGAAACAATAGCTTCACTTGTAAATTACACTTGTAAAAGTTTTTTGAATCAACTCCACTTTTGGAAATGTAATAAAATATCTGTGAAACTATGTCACAATAATAAATATGGACTCCCAGGAGCAGTAAGGTGGGAACAAATACTCACACACAAACAATGTAAAATGCAAAGACTTATTTTCAACAACCAGGCTCAGTGTTGAAATTTATAGGACTGATGTCAAAACACTTATGCGCTGTTATGTGCTATTAGTCCAATAATTTTACTTACTAAATAATTAATGTTTCATTACTATTAAGCTTAATTTCTACAGAAAATCCTACTAATGGGTATTGCATTAACAACCGAAATTGAGAATAGTGGATGATTTAGTATGGGGCTTCTCTTTGTTCATAAAATGAAGTTTGATTAGAAACAATTTCTACAAAAAAAAAATGTAAGACTCACCGTCGCTATTATTTGTGCTTTCACCTTCTTCTTCTCAAAACTTGGAATAATCAACTTTTTTGCGTACTCTACGGCGAAGAGACATGGCAACGATCCGTTACCCACCATAAAACTAAACTATATTACCATCAAAGTCTGTTTAATGATCGAAACACAGGCAACAGATCGTCGAGGTAACCATGCATGCAATTTTAAGATCATTTTTCCGCATAAATTTGTCAGAAATATTAATTCAGTCTGTCCCACATGACATGGAAGCTAAACAAGTAAAAGTGCTTACATGATAAAATAATTGTATTGTAAATGATTATTCTTCAACACGACAGTTTTTGACGAAATATTCAATGAAACAGCAAAGCTCGTTCATATTAACAACAACAGCATCGATTACTCATGTGCAAACAAAAATCAAACAATTTTAAGAAGTAGTACCTGTCAGATCGTCTCCCAAGAGACATGCCAGGATAAGACACGCTTGAGGAAAAAAATATCCAGTAAAAATAGTTCGTTCTCCTCGAGGTTGTTAAAAATATTTTTTTGAAAGTAGAATAATAAATCGCGTGAATCGTGCGTGAAAATGAATTGGCGCCAAAAAATGGTTTCTGCGATAAATGCGTTCAGCGGTGAGCCTCTTCCTGATATTGAGGTTTAAAGGATGGGGCATGCGCTGTTCGATTTACCGCTGCAAACATTTTCTCCTGCTGGAGGCATGGAGCGTGGCTGAGTGGAAGGGTTTTCGTAGGGTTGGCAATTTGCGGTTTTTTTATCATGGTACTTCTTGGTCTGCGTTTTATGCTGTTTAAGAATTTGCCAAAGCGCGCAAAGACATTTACAGAACGAGTGCAACAGGGAATTTATCATGGAAAAGGTTACATGTATGGCCATGTGAACACATTTTCTGAAAAAAAGTAAGCTTAATCTTGAGCTTAGTCTAAGTGTAAAATTATTGAACGTAACCTTAATTTACAAATATATAGCTTTGTAAAGTTATAACTATCTTTCAAATTTATTCTTTAAGATACTACGAGGATTTACAGTACACATAAATGTCAGCAACAACTGCACCAACATTAAAATTTTTTATTTGAAGCAGTAGGGTTACATTTGCCCTAAGTTTAAAAGAATGAAGTCACCCCTTTGGAAGTGACAGTAACTAGCAAATCCTCTCAAAGACAGATACCGTTGGAACCGGTACCAAATGTTTGTCTTGGTGAGGTGTTCGCTTTATACAGAGTCAAAAAAAGATTGGCAAGCAGCAGGGACCAATCATTAACAATTCCAGACATGATGACATTTCCCACCATTCTCTGGGTATGTTGGGCTTTTGTCATTTCTTCTTCAGAAAGCTGCAAATGCCCCATGTTGGGAGCAGCAGTTTCAGTGTTCTCACCAGGATTTTGCCTTGGGGAGTCTCAGGGCCCCCTCTTCTGAGAAATAGGAGCCCTGTAAGAACATTAGGAAGACAAAGTTACAAAAAACACGCGGTACGAAGAACCTGAGCCCGCACTCCAAATTGTCTGTTACATGAAGTACCTACCTGATCCAATATGGCGGAAGAGGTGCTTACGATGTAGTGGGACGTGCGTGGGACCAATGAAAGTAAAGGCAACAAAATTAAAGACTTTGACTCATTTGATATCATGTTTTTTTATTTATTCAAACAAACAGAATGCTTTAGTGTTAGGGTGACCATTAAAACTACTTAAGTCCGTTTGACTCGTAGCTTGCCCTTGCGCCCTAACATGCGCATCTTCTTGGTTTTAATGCGCCATTTCAGTTTTTTCTTGCGGGAATCCCGCAAGGCCGCGGCCTGGTGAGAACACTGCAGTTTCATACAGAAACCCCACTGTAGGGCATTAAAAAAAATTGAGATAATTACCCACAAAATCACAAACCACAAATCCATGCAGTGAATAAAATCTTTGGCTGACAATAACCATGCATACACAATGTGCAAAGAAAGTAAGTTTTATAGCTTTCCCTTTATAACTCGCATGTCCTGACCCAAGAGTCTTTTTAACTTGCTTAAAGAATTTACAGGTGAACTTCTCCACAACGGCCCCCTTGGGGACAAAAGAAAGTGGTGGTTGTAGAAAGGTTTAAATAAGAGTCAATGTATGGACTGTCCACCAGAAAAAGTGTTCATTGTAGAGATGTGGCTGTTAGTGGAGGTTTGACTGTACCCAGAACCAATCCATGTCTCAGTCTTAAAACTGATGAGACATGTAACCAGACAATTTTTGAAGTCATGTTACCGGTACATCATATTTCAACATCCTAAGTATTTTCACCCCCACCTTCTATCGCAAACACCTGCCACTTTTAAAATTGAGGCTTGAAGCACTTACAGAAACATTCAGAACACTCTTCTTAGGTTAGACATATGGAGCTGGCCACCCTTTGAAACTTGACTTAATCTCTGACCCTTTAATGGTTATCATGCTTTACCCACCTGCTTCTAACAAATGGTGAAACAAGGTGAGTAGCCACTCCAGGAGAACTAAAATGACAGCTGTTGAAATATTAAAAGTGTCCAATGAATAACCCGGCGGGAGATTGGGGGTTATGGGCCTGCCTTGTATTGACTGAGACGTGCCCAGCCTTACATCGACTGTGTAATTCTACTTTCTTGTTCTGCTGTCATATAATAATATTATGGTTAAAAAGGGAGAAAAAAATCCTTTGGATAAGATTGCTACCAATCCAGCCAAAACTAACACAGGACTAAAAAGGCAGGAAGGAGTACATTGGGAAGATTCCAATTCTTTCCAACATGTACGCATTGCTAGTAGTTTAACATAAATGGGAAAAATGGTTAATTTCATCTGATTGATAATGAAGTGATGCTACAATGTACGGCTATAGCATACATATATGGTTGTGAAGTTTATGCTTGCAGGGCTGCTGGGGGGGTACCAACACATGGGGATCACATCTGTACCATTTTACACTGTATTGTTGTCCCTTTGCTACTATAGGAGCAAAGACTATATGTAATAGTAAGCTCTCTTAAACTGGATCCTAGGCAAGTGGGTGTTCTGCAGATGAGCATAATTTTGAAGAAGCTCAACCTTCGGACATTCTATGATTAAAAAAATATATATATATGAATCTTTGCTTTTCTGTTCCAAGGATGGTCTTTGTCCTTGTCAGTTATCCTTTGCTAAAGCTCTGAATGGGAACAACAGGAAAAAGGCAGCAAAATTAAAACACAAAAATTGATTCTTTTTGGGATCAAAGACTCACAAGGCCAGTCTCATACAATGATTTGAAAATCTTATGTTTATCAATGGTGGCTGGCTGGTAAATGACAGTAAGTGTGGTTTTCTGCTGGCTGAGGAACGAACGAAGCACAAAATGTTTTTCTCACACACGGCTGGGAGTATGGGTTCGAGTGTGTGGGGGGCCTTCAGGTCACATGGTGTTTCAGAGTTCATTTGTGTTTGTTGCCTTCCACCATTGCCTGACCTTTCCCGCCCACCCACTCTCCATGTGTTTTTTGGGTTGTAGGATTTCAGGTAGTGCCTTAGTTCCGGTTATCCTCATATGTTGATCAATTATTGAATCTAGGCTCAGTTTCAGCTGTTTTGTTAGCTCTCCTTTGGTGCTGTAACACTAATGATTCGTAGTGTTGATATAAGAAAGGTCGGGCTGCATAGTCTGGTTGCATTGGCTCCCAGTTGCATGTGAGAATGTTACTTCACAGTGACAGAATGGACATTTTAGGAGGGCTAGTGCAGGCAAACAAAAATTAATGTGAGCTCGCAGTTGTATTCTTGGTGTGGGTGGTCAGAGGCACTTTATAAACGGTATAGCGCGGTCTTTGCAAAATCTTTGCACATTCTTGGGAAACCTTGTTCTACCAACTAATATGCATTTTACGTGGCTGCGAAGGCCCTGGTGGTGAGTTTAAGGTCCTTCTGATGTTTGTACTGAAATCACGTGAATATCAATTTGTGGAGCACTTATAACAATAATAATAAATTATTAATTTTGTTTAATTTGCAAAAACACATAACTCAGATATACTTACTGTACGTAATTAATGTAAGGCTTTTTGCAAAGTCTATAAATCTATGCAATTTAAGTTGGGTCAGATTACACCACAGTCTGTGGTTTTAATATTTTTATTATGTTCCAAGCATGTTCCTTTGCATGTCATCTGAAAGCCTCAATAAGCTTCAAACTAAGCTTTTTTTGGACTTAAAATAATAGTATTATGAGTTGGGTACTGTTTAAAAAACGAGCAGGGGTGTATTATCAGGTTTAGATTTCACCTTGAGTTTTTAAACCTGATGATAAATGACTGCGAGTTTTTTTAATTGCTTCAAAATCTCTGATATGGATCAACTCATTCTTGCACTAATATTTAGATTTGGCCGAGTTATTTTGGTCCAAAATAATTGGAGGTGAAGTCCATCAGATATAAAGACACTCATTAAACATTAATTTCTTCTGTTTTTTCGAGAATATTATTATTAATGAGCAGAGTGCAAAGAAAATCATTTTTACAGCTTGTCATTCGGGCAAGCTGAAGCTAGCATTTACTAGTCCTGACTTCACTTCAACTAGCCCCAAAAGCTTTTTGATTAGTAGATTATTGATTTCAAAGTTCTTCTGTTATTCAAATTCCTCAAAGAACAGCACTTGCCCGTCCGGCAAGTTAAAAACAGACTTCACTAGCCCGGTAGCAAAATCCACTAGTCCCAGGCTATCGGACACCACTTTCTTTGCACGCTGATGAGTTTTTGAATATTAAAATGAAGATAATAATAAGCAACCTTATATTGCTTTGGTTATACCGGTAATTATATTTCCTTGCCAGCTCCAGTGTAGTTTTCTTGCTGATTTTCAGTCCATAGGATGTTTTTTTTTTTATCCTCTGTGTTTTTCTATAAATTCTTATTGTGGTCATAGAAAACCACAAGGGCATAATGGGAGCCATAGAATCATAGAATGAACAGGTAACTCTTTTTAAAATTTATCCTATCCTCCTGTAAAAGTCTAGTTGAGTATTCACATCAGTTTTTTGCTGGACAGTCTGTACATAACCAGCAGACTGTGCAGATGCTTAAATTTTGAGCTTGGGTGGCCCGTGGCTGATCTGGATTCATTTTGCTAATACGCAATATTGCCTTCTCTCCACAGAACCAAGCGGGTTTGGAAACCAAATGTTGTTAAAAAGAAATATTACAGTCAAATACTAGAACAAACCATGAGAATTGAATTCAGTACACATGCACTGAGATGTATTGACAAGGCGGGAGGATTTGACAACTACATTATTAACACTAAAGACAAGTGGCTACACTCAAGAACAGCTATAGAACTGAAGAAGCTTATGTTAGATGTACTCAAGTGTAAGGAACAGGGTATGCCCATGAGTCAGATTAGGAAGGAAGTATTCCCACAGCCTAAAGTAAGCAAACATGTTCATATTCCAAAGAGATACACCACGAGATTCTACTTTGATTGGAGAGGACCTCGCAAACAAGTTCTTTATTGTTGATTTCAATATCATACTATTACTGCTTGTGATACATTGTAAAGTACTGACTTCAGTTTTATTGTACAGCTGTGAAGATACAGTGTAATTCTTCTTTCTGAAGGAGGTTTTAAGGACTATTTTTTTTCTACAATAATTTTGATTGTCTTCCTTCATGTGCAGAAATGGCCAGGGTTCCATTGAAAATCTTCACTCTTAACTGTTAACCTTAAACTTTAACTTGTGAAATACACACCGTGCAATTATTATACATGTAGTCATT